TGAATAAAATTTCATACTGATATGGTGGGAAATGAAATTTGCTCCTTATCTAGACACTTAGTCATCTGTTTTAACTTTTTTCAATTTCTCATCAGACCCACTTGTCAGTAAGAATAGTAGCAGTGGGCCAGATGTGGTGGCTCACGCCTGTAATCCTAGCACTCTGGGAGGCTGAGGCAGGAGGATTGCTTGAGCTCCGAAGTTTGAGACTAGCCTAAGTAAGAGTGAGACCCCATCTCTACCGAAAAGAAAGGAGGAAAAAAAAAACCAGGAGGGCATTCCAGCACACGCCTGTAGTCCCAGCTACCTGGGAGGCTGAAGCAGAAGGATCACTTAGAGCCAGGAGTTAGAGTTTGCAGTGAGTTACAGTGATGCCACTGCACTCTACCCAGGGCAATAGAGTGAGACTCTATCTCAACAAAACAACAACAACAAAAACAAGGCAACTGAACACCCCTCCTCATCAGCCCCTACCCCTTCAAAAAATGAAAAAAAAAAAAAAATAGTAGCAGTGAGAAGGAAAAAAAAAGTAATGATAGCCATAATCCTTAAATTTTTCTCAGCAGTTGATATATTTAGAATTTGCTTTATTACTACAGAAGCTTCTTTCTTATATATACTGAATGATCAGAGCTAATTTTTATTCCAGGTGTTAACTTTTTCTAAATTTATTTCACAAATATCCTCACTGTAGTCAGTTTTGCAGTTAGGATTTAAGGAAGATGCTGCCATGGTGAATGAATTTTTTTGGCATTTATAGAGTTGAAGACAGTAGGAAATAGCTGAAAATTTTTTTTTAATCTAGTATGATGAATTAGTTCCTGCTTCTCTGACAACAAAATATGGAGGCTTTTATATCAACACTGGCACTCTACAGTTTCGCCAAGCTTCAGATACTGAAGAAGAAGAAATTACAGACAACCAAAAGCACAAACCGCCCAAAGTGAGTTTATTGACATCGCAATGAGAACATTCAATTAATAGTATATATTTTTCGAATGTTAAGTTGTGCCACAACGGTGAATGTAAAGAAAGTAAAATACAAACCATTGTTTATTGAATCTGTGGTTAATTATATACTTTAAAATTATGTAGATATGGAAAAATTGGTATTTATATCATAGTAGAATTATGTTTTCTTTTAAAACTTCTCTCTACCTATGTGGTTTAATAATCTGTTTCTGGTATAAAATTAAGTTTCTAGGATAGGTTAAGATTTATTATAGAAATGATTGTTAATAGCTGTTACCTTTCCTAAGATATAATTTGTAACTAATTCTGTGGAGTTAGCATGTACCATATTTGGGAAAGGAATAGTGTCCTTAGATAAATGTTTCTTGAAGTGTGGTCCAAAGACTGACTTGTACCAGAATTACTAAAATACTTGTTAAAAATGCAAATTATTCTCATTAGACTTGGAAAGTTTTTAAAAAATAATAAATAAATAAATGCAAATTATAAGGCCTACCTCAGATAACTGAAACAAAACTAGGGGTAAGAGTGTTTGTGGACCCCAGGAATCTGCATTTTTAACAAGCAATTCTAATGCACACTGACATTTGAGAAAAATGGATCCTGGATTGCTAACATCAAAGAGTAAAGCATTGATACTTAGATAAGTGATGCATTCTTTTATCATTTTGCAGGTTCCCAAAATAAAAGAAGATGATATTGAGATGAAGAAGAGGAAGCGGAAAGAGGAAGGAGAAAAGGAGAAGAAGCCAAGGAAAAAAGTACCCAAACAACTGGGGTAGGTTAAATTAAACCTAATAAGGGAACTAGTGTCATAGTGTGACTGTCTCTCCTTTTAGAAAGATATATTCACCATTAATTAATTCAACTTAGCCGAGTCTAATTTAATATAGTATTTATGAATATTAATGACTATTAACTTATATTGAAATAATATTGTAGTATTTGTTAATAAGCAAAAGGCTCTGTCACCTTAGAGACTGATGGTGTTTTAGATCAAATTTATAGATTGGTTCATTAAGTATTTTGCTTATTAGAGCTTTTTACCAATAAGAACCAGTTTGAAAAGATATTACTGAACAAACTGTTTTAATTTTTTGGTACTGTAACTAAGCTTAGCTGCTTGAGGATTGAGGAATAGCAGTAGCCTATATGTAAACGGTTTATGGCTGTTGTAATATAAAAAATTTCATTGATTTTATTTAGCTATTCTTAACACTTGTGACTTTAGGTAATGATGGTGCTGCTAGAAACCAAGTAAAATTTCTCAAAAGCCTATGTTAGAAGAATAAAATACTTGTACCATACAATCAAAAATTACCAGTTGCCTCTACTTCTAGGGCTTTTCTCACAGAGCTAAGGGAAGGAGACTTGTGAGAGGCTGGGTTTTCCTTCTCTCCTTAGCAGGGAGATATATTTGAATTTGGGGCTATCAGTATCCAGAACGTTGATGTAGGGAGGTATTTCTCCCCTCCAAAACATAGGATTACAGCCATTAATCATAACCTTGAGTCATTAAGAAATCATTTAAAAAGTATGTATCACTAATGGTTGCCTTAAATGTTCATTATTTACAGGTAAACTTCTTTGGAAACATGGCTACAAATAATGCCTTTTATTGAATTTATTTTCTAAGCTTTATAACTTATTTATTCAGCAAAAATTTATTAAGTACCTGTTAATTTTTTTAAGGCACTGTTGTAGGTTTTGGGTATATAACAAAGACTTCAAGGTATTAATGATCTTTTAGATTCTGTAATTCACATAGAAGCATAGGCCATAGGATTTAGAAAAGATTTTTTCGAGAGAAGTGATAGCTAAACTGAGGTCTTCCCCATAGTTCCTGTGGAAGAAGGTATCACCGAAAGTTATACATACCTGTCTGATTGCCTAACACGGCTGTTTCTAGAATGGAAAGTGAAAAATAATCAGAAGGCAGTGGCAGACAGATTAGGGTCTAGGAAGACTACATGGTAGTGAGTAAAGGCTCACAGATAAAGACAGTGGATTTTGTATTTCTTTGGCAGTTTGTAGCACCAGCCACCCAGGGGTGCCAGTTTGAAGATGTATGATGTGAACTTGGCTGGTTGTTAGGCAACTCTGTTTTCAGCTAAAATGCTGAAAATCGTTTAAAAAAAAAAACAAAATCACACAGCCTGTTTGATCACTTTTTTCTTCACAGAGTTGTGGCTCTAAATTCACACAAATCTGAAAAAAAGAAGAAACGTTATAAAGATTCTCTTATAGCTGCCATGATACGAAAATTTCAGAAAGAGAAGGATGTGTTAAAGAAGGAATCTAACCCTAAAATCCCAGTGACCTTATCGACCTCCTCTCTGAATAAGCCCCCCTGTGCTGCTGCAGCACTGGGGAATGACGTCCCGGACCTAAATCTTAACAGCGCTGATCCAGACCTTCCCATTTTTGTTAGCACAAATGAACATGAACTGTTTCAGGAAGCTGAAAATGCCCTAGAGATGCTAGATGATTTCGACTTGGACAGATTACTGGAAGCTGCTTCTGATGGTAGCCCCCTATCTGAATCAGGGGGAGAAAATGGAAACACCACCCAGCCAACCTACACCTCTCAGGTTATGCCCAAGGTGGTACCTACACTCCCAGAGGGTCTACCTGTACTTCTTGAGAAACGTATCGAAGACCTCCGTGTAGTAAGTGTAATAATTCTCTTGATTTTTATTTGCTTTACAAATATAACAATAAATGCTTTTCTTTTAAAGACAAAAATAACCCACAATCCTTCTAACAACTTCTTATTTTTCATATTTCCTTTTAGACATTGGCTATTTACCTTATAAGTATGTTTCTGCATAGGTTTCACAGATTCAATTTTTATAAGCTACATAGGTCACATAAAGAAAATAGAGTGAAGAAAGGAATATAGTAACATTGCAGAAGTGTACCTAAACTTGGTCCAAACTATGTTGACATCTAGTTATTTTATATAATATTTTTCCAGTTAATCACTTTAGAAAGCATGCATTGTGTTCCTACTAGGACAAACATAAAAACTGAGCTTTGTAGCTTGCTGAAATAGATTACTTTCCAGATTGACTTAGATTCATAATCTTCATTTGTTTAGCTACAAATCCAGTTATATATCTCACATATTTTGTCTTAAAATGTGCCACCCCTTGCTTAAATTGTCCTTTTTTGATTACTTAAGTATGTTTGAACCTATTCCATATTTTAGTCATTTTGGGTCCCCCCTGCCCTCCCGCTTATAAAAGTAATACAGGCTGGGCACAGTGACTCATGTCCTGTAATCCCAGCACTTTGGGAAGCCTAGGCGGGAGGATCACTTGAGCCCAGGACTACGAGACCAGCTTGGACAGCATAGCCAGACCCTGCCTCTACAAAAACTTTTTAAAGATTAGCGAGGCATGGTGTTGCATGCCTATAGTCCCAGCTACTCAGGAGGCTGAGGCAAGAGGATTGATCGCTTGAGCCCAGGAGTTTGAGGTTATAGTGAGCTATGATCAGGCCATTGCACTCCAGTCTGGCCAACAGAGTGGGACCCTGTCTCTAAATTAATAAATGAATGAATGAATGTTAATGGGATTGTAATGTATGGACTTATTCTACAACCTGCTTTTTTCCTCCTAGGATTTCTCTGTTTAAATCACATTTTAAAATTTATTAATCATCTC